CCGGATGTAACAGTAAAATTGTCCAAATCCTGTTACAGCAAAAGTGTCCAATTGTTAGATTAAGATTTGAACTGTTTAATCTTAGAATTGGTTAAAGATATATAACTGGAAGAATTCTCCGAGTTTTTTATAACACTTTTAGACTCTACTTGAGCGGTAAGAATGTATGATTACTCTCTAAGCTGAACAGAAGATTCGTGATGAAATCGGTCATAAACAAAAACGACATGTTTATCATTAATTAATCATAGCTAAGGATCGAAATAAAGTTCATATATATATATATATATATATATATATATATATATATATATATATATATATATATATATTATACATATTATACATTTATTTTTTTATACATAATAACAAAATAAACTACGAAACCTCCACAGATATTCTTAAATGCCTATAATTGATAACTGAAGCCATTGGTTTATACCAAAGGCTTTCCATACTTAATGCTTCTCGTTTTCACTCACGCGTGGTCATGTGTGACGTCCGAGCTGCGATGCGATTTTCGCTTACAGCGTCTTTTATGCACGAGTTTGTCGTTGCTTCCAATTTTTTCATGCAACAAAAACAGACTATCATTATTGTTTCGTCCATGTATTGATTGATGTATTGAAATGTGTCTGTAATCTTTGATAACGGCTTATGTAAGCCGAAAGCTTAGATTGGATTTAAACATGTATCACTATGGTGATTTCCTTTCGTCTTTCAATGATAATATTATTAAGCTTATCAGACAACATGAAAGGAACGTACTTGAAATAAATAGACACAACTTGTCTACATTATTTAATGAAACATATATCAATGAAAAATTGCTGCCTAAATATACACAATATATATATATATATATATATATATATATCTGAAGATCACGAGCGTGTGACTCGAACTCTGCATCACTGACGTTGTGTAGCGTTTTTTTCTTCCTCTGACTGCATAGCGTAGGCGTTGGACACTTTAATTGACTGCAACGGTAGGTGCATGGCTTCTGGACTAATTTTTTTTTCTTTTCTTAGTTGGGGATTTTTTCGTGTCTAAGATCTTAGGTCTTTTAGCAGCTAGTCATTTGGTCGTATTTTTTGGTTACTTGTAACATATACACACACACACACGCACACACATATATATATATATATATATGTGTGTGCGTGTGTGTGTGTGTGTGTGTGTGTGTGTGTGTGTGTGTGTGTGTGTGTATGTATTTTTGATTATGCGCCTTTGTATAAAGGTTGGCATGATGTGAATCTGACCACAAAGAACATTTTCGAAAATTACTCCACACAATCTTGTATTTCCTTCTTTGTACGCATCTTTTCTTTCATGTTATGCGTAATTGCTTTTACTTTTGACAGAATTTTTTCCGCCATTTCTCTATGTTAAACGGTATTGTCAGCATTTATTCCACTTTCAACGATAGTTTTTCAAATCGACAATTGGCTTTCTCTATTCACAGCAGTCTCTCGTTTACTGTCTCTTTTTATCCCTGTATGTTTCTTTTTCTTTTCTCTTCTCTCCCCTTATGCAAAATATTGGCCGCCCTCCATTACTTCTTGCTTGCTGTATCTCTTTCTCGATATGAGATTTCTTTAAGAAGAACAATTTGGATTCTGTAAACGGTGAGAGCATATACCCTGGGAGTAAAAAATTGCTAAAAAATGAAAACCTTTCGAGAAAGAACAATTCTCTTAACCTGATTTACTCGAACTGGGGTTCTCATTTTTGGTCCTTCGCAACAAATCTTCCATCATTAGAGTAGATTTTTCGCTTTAGAAGAATCACCATCTGTTCCCGTTGATTAAATAAACAGTTTGGATTGAAATTCCCAGAATATTAAGTTTTAATGTTCCAACTTCTATTCCCAGGATTTCCCCATCAGTTGTACCCGAGTGAATTGAACTGTTGGTTTATACAGTTGGTGATATAATAGTTGTGAGTTCAATCTTTGGACCAGGTACTGCAAACTTAGCGGAAACAGAGCAAGCAAAAATGTGTGGATGGTCCTGCACGAAACCTTCACCACTATAATCAAATCTCATGTGCTATACATGTGGGCTGGGGACCGCTTGTGAATTCAAAATTCTCATGAAACTCCAATATTGGAGCCGGCTCAACCCACCCCGGATGAATGCCGTTACAAGAACAAGAAGAAGCAATAGCTGAGTAGTAAAAATATACACCCGTATATTAAATAAAGTGAGGGTTACCCTGATCGCAAACCACCTAAAGAATATCGGAAGGCACATAAACCGAAACATTTTGATAATTACGATAAAGACAATTATAATAGATTGTATGTAAATAATGTTCATTTTTTACAATGATTAAGTTTCGTCTTTGAGCTTTGACTATTGGTCAGAATCTTGAAATCGCCGTCATTCACAGAATTTCAATAAGTGTATTGATCCTTCTTATATTCCTTCACGCTAATTTCGTAGAATCATTTATTTATCTACGATTAAAAGATTTATTGTTTCTCTTTTCAATTCTCCACTGCGCAACCATTTTAAACTCCTCTCTTGTTTCTAATTCTTTTTTCGCACATTTTTTTTGTTTGCTTTTTCTTCTTCGTTTTCTACTTCTTTGGATTTTAGATTTTTCTTTTTCGTCTATTTCTTCGATATCATTTTGTTTTGTTTTTTTCCTATTTCACACTTTACGACTACTTTTTTTGTTTTCGTCTTTTCTTATTCATTAATTTATTTCACTTATTTCTCCTTTGCTCTTTCTTTTTCTTTTTAATTATCCTCTCTTTTCTTTACTTGAACCTAATTTTCGCTTTTCTTTTTGCCTCAAAAGCGGTCTCTGATACTTTGTTTGTTTTCCATTGGTAATCATTTCTTCTTTTTTTCTAGCGCCATTTCTATCCTTTTCTAATCAAACAGTTTTCCTTGTCTTTTTCTGCCTTTTCTCCTCTTCTTCCAATCTTCACTATAATCTATTTATCTTCCTCTTTATCGTCCCCCAATTCTTCCGTTTTTAACCTAGTTCGCTATTCCTAACGATAAACAAACAATTTTAAAATCCTGCAAATTCTTTTATTTCTTTTTGGGTAATTCATGATTGTACTCATCCTGTTAGTTTCCAATCCTTTCTTTCTTGTTGTTTTTCTTTAGCCTTCCTGTCTTGTGTATAAACTACGTCCACGTCCTGGGTAAGACGATAAACTGCGTCCACGTCCTGAGTAAGACGATAAACTACAGCCACGTCCTGGATAAGACGATAAACGAAGTCCACGTCCTGAATAAGACGATAAACTATGCCCACGTCCTGGGTAAGACGATAAACTACGTCCACGTCCTGGGTAAGACGATAAACTACGTCCACGTCCTGGATAAGACGATAAACTACCTCCATGTCCTGGATAAGACGATAAACTACATCCACGTCCTGGATAAGACGATAAACTACGTCCAACAGCAAGGCCTCTGGTAAGGATGTTTTGAGGAGCGTTGAACCACCTCTTAATTGCTGGTGTTCCCAAGTCCACCCTGACCCAAGGTGGTAGCACCTGTTATGACCTCAGCTATGGGCAAATAGTTACCCCCAAACTGGGATCAAAACACTATGAAAGTGTAAAAATAAGTTTAAATACCTGAAATACTTTGTGAAAAAATTATTACCAATAATTTATATTTTTAAAAAAAGATATTACTAGCTATACTTTTTGGAAAAAAATTAGAAGCCATACATGTTTTGAGAAAAAAAAAATTACCAGAAATTGATTCTTGAAGGAATAAAATTACCAGCAATACATTTGAAAAAAAAATATTACAAGCAATAAAAATCTTGACGGCACTAAATAAGCCATTGGCGCTGATATGCCGTAAAAGAAACCAAACCAAACCGAACCAAACTTTATACTTCCCTTTTTCTCCCTGTTTGCTATTACCCATTTTTTTTATCACCGCCATTACTATTATCGCCCCTGCTGATGGAGGCCTGAAATATTCTTGACTCAACTAAGAGACCCTTCAAAATAACTGCTTATATTTGATCATTTAGACAGATTTTGTGGATCGGGTCGAGAAGAATACATTTCAGTTCATTTTTTAAAATTATTTCAAGCTACTAAGACGCAAGGTGTTACTGAGAGGGAAACAATTAGAAAATATTAGTGAGGAGAAAGGACAATAAATTTTAAATGTTTAAACATTGCAGGTGGCAGCGAAGCAAGAAAATAAATTATTAGAATAGAACATACTTATTCAATAGTACAATGAAGAGACTAGTTGCCAATCTAGTAGTACACTGAAATTCATGTAATTTTTTTACAAAGGGGGAAACTCATTAGAACAACTGTCATGAAAGTATTAATAGAAAAGATTGAGGGAAGTCATGTGACGGCGGTTGGAAAGTGACTGAAGTCGAGATTTCAGGTCAGGACCGGTAGCATTACAGACCCCGATTTGAATGTTGCCAAGAACCTCGAGATATAGAACAGGAGCAACAGACCAAATATGTCGGTGATATTCTGCTTCGTATATTACATACACTTGCATGTCACACCTTCCAGAGTTATTAACAATGAATGAATAAAAACAAGTATCCGCCATGCTTCTAAATGGCTTCACAGACACCAATGCTATCAATCTCTGTAGTCTCAAATCTCTCTCGTGTTTCCAGTTCACTTCAAATTGATTACGGTCTTTTGGCTCAAGTCCAAAACGCAGTAATCATTATAAACGTCACTGCAAACTTTATTTTCTGTTCCGGGAGAACATAATGAAATGTTGTCCTATTTTTCGCTTGCTTTGACTCTTCTCTCTGTGGTCCGTATACACAGACAAATTCATAAATTCGCAGATTCCACTTTCCTTATTTTGAATCCCACTGACCGGATTCTCAAACATAGAGGTGTTGGTGGATAGGGATAACAAAACATTTTTTAATATTTCGTGGTTGCACTGGTATCTTTTATAATCTGGTCGAAACGAAGACTTTTGCAAAATTTCCGTGAAGATCACAGTTCCTACCCTATTGAGTCTATGTGTATATTATCTATTCACATTTCTACTAAATTCTCTCTTTATCTATCGAGTTTTCTCTTCATTTTATACACCATCTCAATTGATTCGCCCTTCTTCATTGGCGCCATCGTCTATTACTTCTTAAGTCCAAACAAAGATGTCAGCTGCCTTTTTAATGGCTAAGATTTCAAGGCCCAGCCGTGTTTAAGCCGTCACTTGACCGAAGCCGGACCCCAAGACGAATAGTCGCAACATAAACACAGGATAGAAAGCCATCAATGAGAAAGGGGAAAAAAGAGAACAGAAAATAACTGACAACAAGCGATCGTCAAACTCCAAAAACAAATCAAGAAAGGATTTATGTCTTTAAATATAACAGCATCGAAATCAAATACCTTAACTTTTTCCCTATCAATTTTCTCTTCGTTTCAGAAGCTCTTATATCAAAACCTTTCACCCGATTCCTACATTTTCGCCCTTCTTTCTTTGCTAGAAGAAAATCGTAATAGATTTGCCATAAAATTCTCCTTGGCACTTGCTATCATTCTTCTGCGTTGATCTTCTCCAGACATTGAGATTCGGTTCGTCATTACCCAGCCTGAAGTCTCACTTTCAGCTATTAATATTTCTTTTCTTTGAAGAACTAGAATAGAAAAAGGTTCTTCTTCTTCTTCTTCTTCTTCCACTTCTCTATTTCTTTCTTCTATTTCTTCTCCTCCCCTTCTTCTTCTTTCTCCACTTCTCTCTTTCTTTCTTTCTTCTTCTTCTTCTTCTTCTTCTTCTTCTTCTTCTTCTTCTTCTTCTCTCTTTTTTTCTTCTATTTCTCCTCCTCCTCCTCCTTCTTTTTTCTCCACTTCTCTCTTTCTTTCTTCTATTTCTCCTCCTCCTCCTTTTTCTTCTTCTTCCACTTCTCTCTTTCTTTCTTCTATTTCTCCTCCTCCTCCTCCATCTTTTTCTTCTTTCTCCACTTATCTCTTTCTTTCTTCTATTTCTCCTCCTCCTCCCCTCCTCATCCTCCTCCTCCTCCTCCATCTTCTTCTTCTTTCTCCACTTCTCTCTTTCTTTCTTCTATTTCCCTCCTCCCCCTTCTTCTTATTCTCATTCTTCTTCTTTCTCTACTTCTCTCTTTCTTTCTTCTATTTCTTCCTCCTCCCCTCCTCCTCCTCCTCCATCTTCTTCTTCTTTCTCCACTTCTCTCTTTCTTTCTTCTATTTCTCCTCCTCCCCATTCTTCTTCTTCTTCTTCTTCTTCTTCTTCTTCTTCTTTCTCCACTTCTCTCTTTCTTTCTTCTATTTCTCTTCCTCCTCTTCCTTCGTCTTCTTCTTCTTTTAACTTCATTTTCTTCTTTTTACATGTATTTTTTCTTACTTTTTCGCTTGACTCTATTTCTTCTCGTTTGCTTTTTCTTCAGTGTTATTTTGCTTTCTTTTTGTGTGTTGTCGTTAAATAGTGTTTTCTTTCTCTCATTATCTCTCTTCCTTGGTTTAATCCTTTATTTTTCTTTTCTTTTCTTTTTCTTCTATTCCTCCGTTTCTCTATTCTGTTACTTCTTTCTTTCCCTTTCATCTTCTCTCATTTCTCTCTCTCCATATGAATTCATTTCGCTTTTCTTTTTATCTCATCTTCTTTTATTCATAATCAGTCCGCTTTTTACTCGTCCTCCAACGTTCGCTTTCTCGTCTCTACCAAACCCGTTGCCTTCCTCTCTGTCTTTTATACTCCGCTTCTCCATATTTTGTGCGACGTTCGTTATCCCTATTTTTTTATATCTTATTTCGGAATTTGCCTCTTCATTTCCTTTATTTTCTTCTCGTTCTTCTTTCGTTTTTTTCGCTCTTTGATTTCTCTTTTCGTTTCGCTTTCTTTTCTGCTGCTTCCCCTCTTCCTCCACCTTTTCTTCTTCCTCTCTTTCTAAATCTCTGTTTCCAATTTACACTTAGTTATCTCACATTTCCTTCCTCCTTCTTCATCGTCTATCTTTTCATCTCTCCTAAATTGTTCTTTTCTATTCTTTTACTCTCTTCCTTTCCTTCTTTTTCTATCTACTTTCACTTTCACTTTTTCGTCCCTCGTTATCCTCCTCTCATTTTATTATTCATTTTTTTCTTTTTCTTTGGCGTCTGCTTTCACTTTACTTTTACTTTACTTTTACTTTCTCCACCGCCATTTTCTGTCTTCCCTTCTCACTTATTTGTCTATTCTTTAATTCTTATTCATATTTTCTTTTTCTTCACCTTTTTCTTCCTTACTTTATTTCTCATTCCGTAATTTACTCTCTCTCTCCCTGTCTTCCTTTACATACTCTTTTCCTTCTTTTCGCTCTCTTCTTCTTCTCCTCTCTTTCTTCTTTATACATATTTATATTCTTCTCTGTTTGTCTTTCTTTCTCTTCTACGTCATTCCTTTTTTGTATCTTAATTCTAGGCTCTTCATTTTTTTCTTTTTCCACTCTTTTTTACATTATATTCTAATTAGCTGTTTTCTATCTGCTTCTTTATTCATCTTTGTCTTCTTCATCTTTATTTTTATTCTTCTGCCTTTCCGTCTTTCCTTTCCTTTTCCTTTGTTCATTTCTTTTTATCTATCTAATTCCTCCACCTTTTGTGTCTTTCTCGTCTTCAATCTTTTTCTAGCTCCTTCCCGTTCTTCAGCCACATTTCCCTCCTTCTTACTGCTACGGTATCCTCGCGCATTTAGTAGTTTTTTTTTTTTTTATTCTCTTCCATTTTTTCTCTATTTTTCTTTCTTTTCACTTCTCTTTTACATTCATCTTTTTTTCTTTATCTCCATTTTTATTCCTTCAACTTTATCATCTTTCTTTCGCTTTTCTTTTTATTAATGTTTTCTTCCTTATCTCTCTTCTTATTGCAAAACATTTTCTTCTTTTATTTTTATTCTTCGTCATCCAACTTCTTTCTCTCTCTTCATAATCCCTCACCTTCTTCTTTTCTTTAATTCTTCAGATTTTTTTCCCTCTTCTTTTTCCTCCACCCTTTCATTATTCCTCTTCTACTTCTTCCATCATTTTTTTTCTTTTTCCTTCCCTTATTCCCCCTCTTTCTCATTTTCTCTTCCCTGATTCTTCCTTCTTTTCTTACTCCACCTTTTCTTGGCCTTCATTTTCCTACTATTCTTTTTCTGAGGCTTCCTCTTCTTCTTTTTCTTTCATCTATTCATTCTATTCTTCATCTTCTTATTCGTCTTCATTTTCTCTTTATTGTTCTTGTTCTTATTTTTCTTCTTCCTATTCATTTTCTACGGCCTTTTTCTTCTTCTTCTTCTTCTTCTTCTACTACTACTACTACTACTACTACTACAACTAATACTTTTTCCTTCTATTCACCTTCTCCAACTTCTTCTTCTTTGTCGCAACAATGTCCTTAACTCATTTTATCTTCGACCGCGTAAATCATTTGCAATGTTAATTTCGCCTGTTTGCTTCTCAAGTGACTCTTGTATAGTTGCCGGCCGATAAAACAGTAAAACCAAACTTTTAAAGGCAGACTGTCTGCCGTTATATGACTTCGTGACATAAATCTCTATTGGAGACTGGCAGGTGAAATGTTGAACTCCAAAGCACCGCTTTCAGAATTACTGCTGTTACTTTTAGAGATGGTGTTCGTCGTGGAGATGGTCGGGACTGTCGATGGAGAATACGCTTGGTTATGAATCGCGCATGTGTGACTAGTGAAAATGCCTGATTGATTAAATTGCTTATAGTTATTTAAGCACACACAGACGCAGCAGAATGGATTTTTATCCATCACTTAAGCTCCTGTCTTAAAAATAAGAATCTAAGAGCCTCCGAGTGTTTGAAGCAATGGAATATCTAGTGAACTGATTGTTTTCTTAGGCTAAGTATTGCTTCTATTCTAAACGTTTCTCTTGGACTGGTATCTTGATCTTTGCTCTTTGCAAATATAGTATTTGTGAGAATACGATATATATATATATATATATATATATATATATATATATATATATATATATATATCAGACATAATGTTGGGTAATTGAATGACAAATTGGAAAATAATCCTAGGTGACGCATCCAGATATTCAAAAGGACTTCTTATGATTAAAATTTTTAATTTCTCCGATCGAGTTCTGTCGAGTGAAGAGCGATATCCGGTTGTCTCATCCTGTTATTTCCTTTTATTTTCATCTTCTTTCGTTTTATCATTTGTCCCCTTTGATTATGTCTGTTTTTTGAGCTATAATTAAATTTGGTAACTCGGGCAAGATTTTTGGATATTAAATTTCATCATATATATATATATATATATATATATATATATATATATATATATATATATATATAGTAAGGTAATGAAGGCTTTGGCGACCCGTGTGGATAATTCCAAAGATGATGTGACACCATACGACAAAGCACTAAAAGAAAGTGGATACACACAACAACAACAATACACACCTCTAGAACCAAAACGCCAAAACAGAAAGAAAATAATATTTGGTTTAACCCACCATACAACAAAACCGCCAAAAGTAACATAGGAAGAACATTCCTGAACTTAATAGAAAAGCACTTCCCTGAAAGAAACCGATTAGCAAAAATATTGGACAAAAATAACGTTAAAATCCATTACAGCTGCACAAAAATATAACACAAATAATAAAAGCCACAACAAAAAATAACAACCAATAATAATGCAACCAAGGAACCTCAGTGCAACTGCAGATATAAAACAACATGTCCACTCCAAGGAAATTGCCAACAAGCGAATATATAATATATAAATCCAAGGTAAGTGCAAACAACAACACAATGTACTACATTGGTGCCACTGAGGGTCCATCCAAGAAGAGAAAAAATCAACCACAACCTTTCAGCACTAAACTATCCACATACCACATGGAAAAGACAGAAATATTACACCAAGAATAAGCTGGAAAATATTGAAAAAACACCTGCCTACAACAACATTACAAAGAAATGCCTACTTTGCCAACACAAAAAGTAGTAATAATTTCTCATACCGAACAATAGAATTTACTAAACATAAGATCAGAAATAATTTTGAAATGCAGGCATGAAAATAAATACCTATTATCAGAATTTATGCCAAACAGATAAAAAAAATATCAACAAACAATAATACATAAAGCACCCTATAAACAGGAAAAGAGAAACTACTGACACTATAACAACATCAATTATTTTCTAGTTCAAACTACCATCATAATAATTACAATTATTGTCATTATCATTCCACCACTATTACTACGATCACTTATATCACTTTACAATAACTATTTGCTGCTACAATATTTATTATCATCACCCCCCCACAATTACTATTACATCACAATTACCATTGCCGTATTAGGCCACAATTATCATTACCGTATCTGTCCACAATTATACTTACTTCTCCCTCTCTCACAAAATTAATGCCACGGTATAAATACTAATAAGTATTATAAATTTTAATTTCTACCATTTACGTATGCGCAATGGCCAAAAACAAGCAAATAACAAGCTTTAAAATAATAGCAAAACGGCCTTAAAAAATTAAAAATACTTGCAATTTTAACCTATCATAATCTTACACAGACACCCCCCCATCATACGTATATACGTGCGTTCGAGAGAATATTAATCAGCGAACAAAAATAGAAAAACGGTCTGCCCGTTGGCAGCGCAACACACAAGAAATATTCGCTACACAATCCAACATTGAATACAGCCACCAAATGCATACGAATGTGCGCAACAACACATATGTATTCATATATGTCCAGTCCCACACTGTTTACTTACATTTATGTTTGTGTCAGCTCCGGTGAGTGAGCGTGCGTGTGTGTGTCTGCGTACGTCAATGAATGTTTGTGCGTGTACGTATGTTTGCGTAAGTATGAGTAGCGTCCCGACGACAATTTTTCCTCCCACTTCCATAAAAACACATATAATTCTCATTGTTCTTCCTTGATGCACACTGCTAGCGAAGCGTCCATGTTTGCACTGTAATACCAGAAAGAAAACTGGCGGAATCATATATATATATATATATATATATATATATATATATATATATATTATGCCACCACTTGAACCCACATTGTACTATATTGTATTGAATTACTGCTTGTTATATACGACCTGTTTTACTTATGCTCTCAATGTACCTTGCCCAGTAGGGAAATCTGTTCTTATTTTATTTAAATTAAAACTTAAAGTTTGCAAGTTTCTTCAGGATCAAAACTTTTTTCTCAATAAAATGCCCAAAAGACGTGAACTTGCGCTTGAACTAAGACAAGGGATCATTACTTAACAAAAGAAGAATATTCAAGCAGAGAAATTTTTAAAAAATTCCCAGAACTACAGTGAATTATACTGTTAGGAGACATTAGGAAAGGTTAAAAAAAAAACAAAATCAAAAGAATAGTTGGTAGACCAAAAGCAAAATCTGTAGAAGAGAAAAATGTCATTAGAGTCACCAGCATGCGAGACAGAAAGCTCCATGCACCTCTACACAACTAAAGCAATGTCGTGAAAAAATGCATCAACATCTACCGTGAGAAAAAGACTTTGGTAAGCTGGTTTATACGCCAAAATTGTGAGGAATCAAAACAATGCCAAGAGGTTCCAGTGTGTCAAGGCGTACAAAGACTGGACAATAGAACATTGGAATAAATTTCTTTGGATTTGACGAATCGAAAGTTGCAAAACATTGGGTCAAATAGGAGTGTCTATGTGCGGCGAAGAGTTGACGAAATAGCTGAAACCCCTTGTATCACGCCAACCGTATAGCATGGAAGAGGCTCTGTGGAGGCGGGGGCTTTTTCCAATTGAAAAGTCGGGGATTTCTACCAGGTGAATGGCAAATTGAATCAGACCGGTTATCAGAGCATACTGCAGCAGCATCCCATCTGAAAACGGCTTGTGGGTCAAGGATTTGTACTCATGCAAGATAATGACCCAAATCATACCAGTAAACTCTGCCAGAGAGAGATTAAAAGCAAAGATAAACCTCACGTCCTTCAAATGATGTCTTGGCCGGTGCAATCAGCTATATACATAGTTAAATCTCGTTGGTGTGGGATGAATTTAACCGAAAAGACAGACAAGTAACAAGACAGACAAGTAACAACCCAAAAGTGCGGGTCACCTCTAGCAACTCTTGAGGTAAGGCCGGTCAGATCTATCTTCAGTCTACCTACAGTTTTTGGTGAAATGAATGCCGAGAATCTGTGAAGCAGTGAGAGCGATCAAATGGCTGCATTTTGATTAATCAAGTTTAAGAAGTGTATTTTTTGGTTTAATTTCTACTTAAATTGGCTCAGGAAGACATGTATTTAGTATAATACATAAAACTCTTGTGATAATTGTTTCATTGAGAATAAAACTTTTAAAATGAGAAATAAAATGTTTTGAGTGTGGCCAAATCCTTTTGACTAGTAGTGAATATATATATATATATATATATATATATATATATATATATATATATATATATATATATAATTAAACATGGTATAAAATAACGCTATACGAGAAAATGAGTAGTTAATTGATTAATTAATTGATTGCTGAAGAGTGACCTGAACAATTAATAAAAAGGTTAGACTACGAAACTGTGGAGTCGACGAGGTGAATGTAACATCAAACACCCAAGTGACAAACTTTATTTGTATTAATGTATATATTAGGTGAATTTCGGCAACAGTAATTCTCACAAATGTGGTTTGCTAAATAATCTGGAAAAGTCATACAGTTTTTTTTAATTATATCTTTCAAATTTCCGAATAATTTTTAGTTTTTAATTCCCGCGATCTCATGTTTGATGGAACCAATTTCATGCCACTCGAGTTGACGTCGTATAAACTTTCAAACTAAAATTTTTATGTGTATATGTGCGTGTGTGTTTTCTTTTATACAAAACACACCTCAATATACGGCCCCCCTATA